GCAACTCATTGTATGATGCGGATTTGAGCCTCTGCGCCCTTAGAAGCCGTTGCGCAAGGTCTCATCCTTTGCCCTGATCCTTTGACTGGAGATGCGCGCCAAACTGGTGGAGCGGGTTGGCCAGAGAGAGGCACCAGCTAATTCGAATTAACGCGCAGCAACGGCATGGTCTGCTGCAGTTACAGGAGGTCACCCCCTTCTTTGAAGCCAAGCAGGTATCGGTCAGGTCGGCGTTTGGAGGAGACGCCATAGCCAAGCGCGCGATTGCTGCTTTGGGTTGCTTGGCTGAGGGAACAAAAGTATATTGCGTTTAGACGCGTTGCTCTCAAATCATCCTTGTCAGGATCACGCGCAAAGCTGCGATCCTGTGCACTTTGGCCTACGGGAGTAACGGGAGGAGAGGGTCGCACTGTAAGCGCCACTTCCTCACTCTGTGCGGCCAAAACGCTTCCCGAGAGCAAAACCTTTTTAATAAAACAAAAACCAGCGCCGCGGAAAACGCCGCGCTCTCCCCACTCAAGAGTTGCCCGCGAAGGAAACAGGCTTGCCAGTTCTGCCAGTGAGAGGGGGAGGAGATGGCGGGCGCCTGGGTGGCGATCCGAGGATCCCTCCACTTGGAAAAAACGCGCCGCGCGTTGCGCAAAAAGGCGCGCCAGCGACTGCGGCTCAGCCGCGGAGCCGGAGCCGGGTTTCCTTTTCGAGGTTGGCTTGAAAAGCAAGCCTCGCACCTTCGAGGGGCCGAAAGAAAAGGGCTCGGGTCTTTGCTTCGGCAAAAAAAAAAAGGAGCGGATTCTCTAGATGGCAGCATTGTAGCCAAAGAGCATGGGGTTTTAATAATAATTAATTAATTAATAATAATAATAATGCATGAGTAAGGGTGATAAAATTTTAATAACAACAGATGCATGATTAAGGGTGAAGAAGAAGAAGAAACCGACAGTTAATCATGCATCTATTTTATCTTTCCAATTTCTTCAAATTTTTCGAAAAAGAAGAAGAGAATTGGTCGGATTTTTTTTTAATTAAAAAAAAAACCTTTATTGGGGAAAAAACAACCCCCCAAAAAACTATAGATCTTTCTTTGTTGTTAAATCTAAAATAGCAATCATGCTTCTCTACTAACCATCCCAACAACGACGATGCCGCGTCTTTTGCTGAACAAGAATCGTTCTGGTGGCATCCGCCCAAATCCTACGCAAGTTTACATGGAAAATCATTTTTTCGTGGCTTCCAAGGAAATTTACCTGGGAATGATGTAGGGAGGCGGTTAGGGACGACCGTGGCCTTAACTGTTTTCTCTGTTCAGCTTGGTGGAATTTTACTAATCCCGTTCTTATTTTTATTTGGCAGGAGGGAGACGGGAACTTCTGATAAGATTTCTCTCTCTCTGACCAACCCAAGTTTTGTTTTTGTTTGGCGATGCCCACCACCGGCGCTTAAATAGCACCCGATTTATATAGTATATAAATCACGTCGGGAAATGCATAAAAGCGCGCGGGGGGCGGGGAGCTCGTACGAGGAAAAATAGTATCGCGAGCTCCCCCCCCCCCCCAACAAACAAGCCAACAAACTTGGCAGCCGCCCCGTCGCCTCCTGGCAGCGCGCCTTGTCAAGACGAAGCGGCGCTAATGACTCTGATGACGTCGGGCGCCATCGAGGGTGATTAGAATCAATAAGAGCTTCGCCTTCGACGGCATGCGAATCACACCGATTATGCTCACTATTATTTTGCACATTGCTCTTTTCCGGGGTGAAAAGGAAGCGTCCTCTCTCTTTTTTAAGGGCTTTAAAAAACAAAATCTGAGCCCCACGTCGGGCAAAAGATTCCTGCATTGCAGGGGATTGGACTAGATGACCCCGCGGGTCCCTTCCACTCTACAATTCTGTGATTTTCTATGAAAACTTGGTCTGGATACGCACACGCACGCGCGCAGGCACTTGCCTATATATAACCCCTCGCAAAGAAAGCGGGAGACTCCGGGGAACACAAAACGTCAGGGACGCCCCCTCAACCCAAGGCCTACATTGGCCACGGGTGAAAGGCCGCCTAGCCCCACCGAGACCCCGCCCCCAATTGCCATGGGGCGCTCCCCTCCCCCCATTGCCTTTTCTCTCTCTTCCTTTTGGCCTTTGATTTGCTCTCTTGCCACTCGCTTCGCCAGACGTATTTTAGCCGTCTGCCTCCCGTCCTATATGCCCTCCTATTCCAGAATACACCGGGCGCTACTTAAAAATATATAGTAACAATAATTATAATAGATCCACACCAGCGGACTGGTTCTGACCCTCGCAATGCTCTCAGGCTTGTTTCTTGGCTGCCAAAAACCTTCTAAGCTCTCGATCTTCGTGAGAAAAGCAAACGCTGCCTCCTGACTTCCCCGTTGCTGGCTGCATTTAAGGGGGGGCGGCTCCTGGGAATTATAGTCTAGCCCATGGGTAAGCAAACTAAGGCCCGGGGGCCGGATGCGGCCCAATCGCCTTCTCAATCCGGCCCGCGGACGGTCTGGGAATCAGCGTCTTTTTACATGAGTAGAATGTGTCCTTTTATTTAAAAGGCATCTATGGGTTATTTGTGGGGCATAGGAATTCGTTCATTTTATTTATTTTTTCAAAATATAGTCCGGCCCCCCACAAAGTCTGAGGGACAGTGGACCGGCCCCCTGCTGAAAAAGTTTGCTGACCCCTGGTTAGCCCTCCCTGCGCCCAAAGTCCCAGGACCCTTGATAATCTACAGTTCCCAGCACCCATCGGAGGAAGCCATGCGCTTTAAACGCGCGGCGTGCCGGCCACCCACAGTCTTCGCCGCCTCCTTTGGCGACCCCAAGTCATCCGGAGTGGATCCAGAGGGTGCGAGAGTGGGAGCCCTCGGTGGGCTCTTTCGCCCCATTTGCCAGGCCCAGGTTGAGGCCGAGGAAGAGGGAGGGGTTCTCCCAGGCCTGCCTGACCTGCAGTCGCCAGGAGGTGGGGGAGATCAGGGAAGCCGTCCCCCGACTTCGCGCTATGGCGCACGCTTCCTTCTCGCCTTTCTGTCAACAGGGGCGGAGGAGGGACGCGCGCTCTGGCTGGCCGCGAATCATCTCGAGTCGCTGAGCTTTGATCAATCCGAACTAATTACCCCCGAGTCTTAATTAAAGTCTTTAGCAGTTGGATCAGCGCTTTGGCAAGCGGACAGGAAGGAGCGCTTGGCAGTTCGACGACACTCGCGTCGGGCGGAGCCTCGCAAGCAAAGGGCGGCGGCCGGGAGGCCTCGCAGCTCCGACGGCGAGGCCAAGCGGCTCCCCTGGTGCCGATCCACGACCCGTTCTCTCCCTCCCCGCCACTTCGAGTCGCCAAGAGCCAACGCACTCTGCTTGAAAGGGGCGCTTCGCCCGTTTATTTGCCACCAGATCCACCAAGTCTTTTTTTTTTTTGGCACGTGCAATAATTATAATAATAATAATAATAATTCTTTTAAAAATACAACCGGGAATTTCAGATCCGTACAAAACTGAAGCCAACTCCGTCCCCGTTCACAAGAGATCACGAAGGTCGAGGAGAGGAGAGTTGGCGATGGTTGGGGATGAGGCACAAGGGAGGGAGAAGGAGGAGTAGGAGGAAGAAGACCGTCGGGGAAAGGGGGAAATCGAGAATCCGAGATTCAGCCAGCCGGCAAAGTCAATCGACACACTTTTTTTTCGGGGAGGAGGGGGTTGTTATTCTATATACAGCGACCGAATTCGAGGGATGAATATCGAGGGTTGTCAGAGCCCAAAATAACACACTGTTGGATGTCGGGGAACAAGAGATCGTCTTGGGGACGCATCCCTTCAAGGAGGAGACCTTCCGTGCCAAAGGAGGGACTGGAGGGGTCTGCTATATTTTAAAAGGCGTCTCTCTCTCTCTCTCTCTCTCTCTCTCTCTCTCTCTCATACACGCACACAGTTAGACGAGCCACACTCTGAATTAAGGTGACACACACGACCGTGGAGCTGAGCTCAAGTGGGGTGACGCTTTCCGGACCGTCGAGGGGCCGTCCTTGCAGTGCAGAGCCACCGCTGAACTTTAAAGAGAAGCCGGTTCCGTTTTCTACAGCGGGGCGGGAAGGCGACTCTTTGCAAAGGGGAGATCCCCGCTGGAAGGCCGCTGCCACTTTGGGAAGGACGCAGATCTCTTCCCAAGAAAGGTCAGTCGCGCTCCCGGGGCACCGCAGATGGGTGGGACTGGGGCCTTGCGACAAGGACAGGAGGGCCTGCGACGTAAGTCAGCGTCCCTTCAGCTAGAAAACCCTTGCCACCGGTTGCTGAACCCGAGCTTAGAATATATATTTGGATAACCTTAGGCAGGGAATCCTGCATTTAAATACCCGGGACTTAACAGCCGCTGAATAAAGCGCCGGGCGCGCTGAAGTTTGAAATGGCACACGTCGAAGGTGGCATTTGAAAAGGGAGCGCCCCCTCCCGCTGTTTTCGGTGGGGCAGGGTACTTAGAAGGACTCCTTTGAGCAAGGGATACCCCAGAGTTTGGGATGTGGGGGCGACGCTTTAAAATCTCTCTCACACACAAGAGACACCAATTGGGCGCTGCAAGAAATTCTGGAGCGAATGGAAGTCCTTTAAAAGGAAGGGGCCTTTTCAAAAAAGGACAGGGGATTTTCATAGCGAAAGGGGGTCTCTTCCCCGCACCCCTCTTGGAGGTGAGCACCTGGCAACTCTAGGCAGACTTCCCGACCGGGTCTCGACCCAGCTTTTTTAATAAATATACGCCCGAAGTAACGTTTCATTAGTCCTGGTTTTCTCAAAACCAGCTCCCCGGCTCACGCGGGGAGACGCAAATCTTTCTTTCCCCGACTGTCGGGGGCAGAGAGAAAAAACAACCCAAAGCAATTTCCTTGTCTCTCTATCTTTCTCCAGCAGTCCCAGAGGGGAAGAAAAACCCGACGGCTTTCTCTGGAGGGAGCGCGGGAGAAGCGCGGACCGCCGTCGAAGTGCATGCAGAAGAAGGGCGGACGGCGGCGGTGCGCCTCACGGGCGGTGAAGCAGCATTGGCTGCGGCGGCGGCGGCTGCAGTTCTGGCTCGACGGCGCTTCGTGAGGGAGCCACGCTCGAGCCGCCGCTGCCGTTGGTGTCGTGCAGTTTGCGGACGTGCTTCTTGAGGTCAAAGTTCCTGCAGAAGCCTTTGCCGCAGGTGGGGCAGGTGAAGGGCTTGGTGTCGTTGTGGGTGTGCATGTGGAAAGTCAAGTTGTACACCTGGTGGAAGGCTTTGTTGCAGATATTGCACTTAAACTGCTTCTCGCCGCTGTGCGTCAGTTTGTGGTTCTTGTAGTTTCCTGTTTGGTGGGGAGGGGGACACAAACAACAGGGCGAGGCGCTCAGTGAGGCACGTGGGGAGACCCTCTCCCGCCCCCCAAGCACACACAGCCCAAGCGCGCACACACCCACACACCCCGCTTCAAACAAGAAAACAACAACACAAAACTAGCTCGGGTTAACTTCTTCGGTTGGCATTCCCGAGTCCATTCCGTCGAAAGAATTCAAATTCTTTTTAGTTTTTTCTACTTTAAAACAAGAACCAAACGAGCAATCGAACAAAAAACCACACACGCAAACAGACAGACACCAAAATCCAAAGAAACTGAAATCTTGGGACGCTCCTGGGTAGTCGGTTTGTGTGCCGAGATCCAAAACGCCGCTTATTTGGACAAAATTCCGTGAACTGACTTCCAGACTGACCTTCAGGAACCGGGGTACTCCAAATAATAAAGCGGTTTAAATCCCTTTCCTCTCCTTCTCCCTCATGCAAAATAAAATAAAATCGTTAGCCAGCGAAATCAAACCGCTTTGGGGTGGATTAAATTAGGACTGGAATAATCCACAATGCGGTACTAAACAAAATCTACGATTTTTATTTTTAAAGATTTTCTTCACAAATAAATATTTAAGATGGGAATGTTAATTCCCTGCACCTCTGCGAAGCGGAACCATCTTAATCCGAAGCGGTGCGTTGTGGATCCGGGTTTTCTTTTTGCAATTTGCATCTACAAACAGAACCGTGCAGAATATTCGGAGTTTACTCTCATAAGACTCCGGTTAACACTTGCAAGCCTATAGTTCGTTTATTTGGAAATAAGTGCCGTCGAGCTCAACTGGGTTTACTCCCAGGTAAGAGTGCAAGACATCGCTGCCTTGGGTTTCAATAATATACGCGCCGCCTCACAATTAAGTCCCACTGGGTTCAGGAAATTGCGGCCTTATTTCTAAGCAAGTCCACGGAAATCAGTGGCACTTATTTCCGCATAAACCTGCACAAACTAAGTTGTTAATCCCAATTATCCTCACAATAATTGCAATCGTTCTCGCGTTTTTAAATCCACACTAACGCTTTGCCCCTCACCCCAATTAAACAGAAGTGGCCATCTCAGAAAAACAACAACTGGAGAAGCTAAATAGATATCTCTCTCTCTCTCTATCTTTTGCTCCTGGTTTTGTATAACAGCGGGGATCCTCCGTTCGTCTTCCCGCAACATAACTCTCCGAGCTCACACAAACAATAATGCTGGCGTAACATTTTAGACACGCTTAAAAAATATCCGTTTGATATCCGTTTTGATTTTTTTTTTTTAGCATATTCGTTTTGAACATCGGACACGGGAGGAAAAAAGGGTGTGTGCGCGCGCGCGCGCTGAAACAACAACGACGCCATCGAATGCAGAGTCGTACCTTTTTGGTGAAACCCTTTCCCGCAAAACTCGCAGACGAAAGGTTTGTAGCCCGCGTGGATCCGCGTATGCGTGTTCAGCGTGGAGCTCCGGTTAAACGCTTTCCCGCACTGGTTGCATTTATGAGGCTTCTCCTGTATTTTATTTTTTTTAAATTTTAAGGAGAGACAAACGCAATCAAAAGCCAGTCCGTTTTGCAGCTTCTCTCCAAGCGGGGCACAATCCTGGCTCTCTTTTTCCCCACCCCCAGGACAGCAAGAACTGGGGAGGAAGGTGCTGTTTTCGCTTGGAAAGAAGATCAGCTTCCTTTGCTACCCGAGAGGGCCTCGTCCTGTTAAGTTTAAACTCTGGCGGCGAGCGCCCCTCAAGTCTGTTGGAGACTCGCGCGGGGTTGCGGGGAGGGAGAATACCGAAGCTGGAACTCGGAGCCTAATCGCGCTTGGTGGGATGTGAGTTTAGTCGGGCTTACTTCCGAGGAAGCGCATTTCAGGATGGTGGCCCTAGTGAAATAAACAGCCGACGGAGAGGCAGCGGTGGGGAAAAGGGAGAGAAGGGAAATTTGGAGAGGTGGCTGTCTAGGGGACAATACCCAAGCACTATTGTTGGGGAGGGGGAGAAAGGGAAAAAGACTAGTATTTCTTCCCTCCCACTCCTCGCGCGCTCTCTCTCTCTCTCTCTCTCTCACACACACACACACACACACACGACGAACAGCTCGCTTTCCAGTTACTGCCTCCAGAAGACAAACATTCCGCACGTCGAGGAGACAGAACAGTCTAACTCAGACAGAGGGAGAGAGGCAGATGCTGGCCAGTTCGACGGACCAGGGACGGGAAGGGAGGAGGCTTGCAGAGCCACGGCGCGGAGCCGTCGGGTGGGAGCCGCGCGTTGCTGCTGGCTTTGTACGCGGCGGTCGGGAAATCCGCGCGTTTGCTGGGCGCAGAGCGGAGGGAGAGCGAGCGATCGCGCGCGGTCGGTCGGTACCTGGGTGTGGATGATCTTGTGGCGACAGAGTGTGCTGGCCTGGCGAAAGCCTTTGCCGCAGACCTTGCAGACAAAGGGCCGGGCTCCCGTGTGCACCGGCATGTGGCGCGTGAGGTTGTAGTGCGCGTTGAAGACCTTGAAGGGGGAAGGGGAGGGGTCAGAAAGTGAAAGCAGAAAGAGACAAGAAACGCGATTAGAAAGGGTGCGCGAGAAAGCCAGCGCAGCAGCCGCAGCAAACAGCAGCCTCGACGGCCGCCTTGACGGATCGGATTTGGGAGAGGGGCCGGATCCGGCACTTGCCTTGCCGCAGACCTCGCAGGTGAAGACTTTGGGCTTGGCGCTGGGCGAGCCGCGGCTGAAGTCCGCCCCGACGTTCTTGAAGGGCAGCTTGTCGGTGGCCAGAAGGTGCGCGGCGGCGGCGGCAGCTGCGGCTGCGGCTGCCGCGCTGTGCAGCTGGGCGTGCGCCAAATCCTTGAAGGCCGGCGTCGGGTATTTGTCGGGGCCGGGAGGCAACACCTGCAGCTTGTTCCTCTCCGCCAGGTAGGCCTTGGGCGCCGTCGGGGCGTGCAAGGCGGCGGGAGAGGAGGCGTGCAGCGGCGAGCCTAGGAAGTAGGACGCCAACGGGTGGAGGCTGAGGCCCGACGGCGGCGGCGGCGGCGGTTGCGGCGGCTCGGTGGCGCGGCTGAAGTAGCCCAGGGTGCCCAGGGCGTGGAAGGAGGAATGGTTGACCACGCGGGGCCGGACAAGCTTGTAGTGCTGCTGCAGCGGCTGCAGGTCCCCCGACGGCGGCTTGAGGCTCAGCGCGCAGCTCAAAGACGCCGCCGACGAGGAAGAAGAGGGGGAGGGCGGCAGCGGCGGGTCCATCGGGGGCTTCCTGGGCTCCGAGCCCGCCTTGGCTAAGGGCTCGTAGGCCAGCGGCACGAAAGGGATCATGCAAGGGATGGAAGATGCCAGGCTGAGTGCCGCCTCCGCCTGTTGCTGCTGCGGCTTGACGTGCGGCTCGGCGCTTTTGGGGCCCCCTCCTTGCAAGAAGTGGGGCAGCAACGGCAGGGCTTTTGGCTCCGGGGCCGTCCGGGCCATGATGCGCTCGATGGAGAATGCCAAAGGCTTGGAGGCACTCAACATGTTGGCTCGAGGAGCGGCCAGGCTCTTGGCAGCCGTCGGGGGGTGCTGCTGCTGTGGCGGCTGGCCGCTATTGTTCATGGCTGGCCGCTCGCTTGCCTGGGCGCCTCTCCAGCTGCCTTTGCCCCTCCGCAGCCCGCTCACTGAGCCGAGCCGACGGAGCCCCGCGCGGCTGTTGCCGCCCGCGACGCCTCGTCCTCCGATGCCCACACCAAGCCCACCGCCGCTGCCGCCCTCGCCGTTTCGCTCGCCGTCTGGACCGCCTCCAGAACCGCCGACAGCTGCCTCTCCATCTCGACGGCCGGCGGCGGCACCAGCCTGCGCTTCCCGACGGACTCGTGCCGGCCCATCGCCGCCTCTGCGCGCCTTTGGCGGGGGACGGTCGCCCCTGTCTGCTCCTCCTCGCCTCTCTCCCTCGTTTTCTCTCTCAATGGAAAGTGTTGGGTCAATAGCAGCAGCCACGATCCCGCCAATCGTTAACTTCCAAGAGGAGAAGGTAAACTAGATAATTGCTCAATTCGCTTCCAACAGGCATTAGGAGGAGAAGGGGGGGGGAGGAAAGTGGAACCCCCTTCCCTCCCCGCTCCCAAGATCAGGAGGCTACTTTCCATTGGCGCCCGATCCTCCTCCGCCTCCTCCCCCCGCCCAGAGGGAAGGAGGTGGCTCTCCCCTCCCCCTCCGCCTCTGGGTCTCCCCCTCCTTCTCCTCTCCCCTCCTATTATTCCCAGTCTCCTTACCTTACACAGGCTTCAGAGGCCTCCAGATCAATGGTCTTGTTTGCCTTTAAATGACATCATCTTTTCCTTTATAATCATAAAAGGAAAGACAATTCGCGGCGTGACCTCTAAATCAGGGAAATTGGGGGGCCACGGCGATGGGCTTCTCTCGGACAAAGGAGGGGTAGTTGCGCTGCCTGCTTGTCAGTTTCAGCCCAGGCCGACATCCCCGCGCTGCACACCTGGGCGCGCGTCTTGGCTGCTCTGCTTCTGCCCCGGGTCTGCTCCTTCTTTCCTCCCTCCCCTCCTTTCTCGGTGCCACTTCGGAGGTAGTCCTTTGGACGCCTGGCCTTTTGACAAACGCGCCGCCCTTCCCAAGAAACAAAAACGCTTCGCTTTCCCGAGGAAAAGCGCGGGGCTGTCGGCGGCGGCTGCAGCTCGGAGCGGGTGTTAGACGGGGCGTCCCAGTGTAGACGGGCAAGCCGGATGCAAAGGAGGAAGCCGTCGGGCAGACCCAGGTTTCCGGAGCGTTCAGGATGATGGCCTCGCCCAAGACCAAACTTTCAATAGCTATTCAAGCAAGGGCGACCCCAACCACTGCAAATTGGGGGTGGGGAGAGACAGACGGCAAAATGCCCAGCGCGAAAACCAGAGGTCAGCTCTCCCAGCGAGAACTCGGGAGGCTACAGTGAGAGATCACATTGAAATCAACGAGGAAGAGGTGGTTCCCCCATCGCCGTCGATTTTGATGGCTCCAGATTGCTCACCCAGCGAGTAAGGGAATTTCTGGAGTCATTTCCCCCATCTCACCTCAGACTGGGCTTTCAGTCCAACCTGCTTTCTAGAGGCTGCTTAGCAACACAGCCTCGCTGTGCTCTAAGTAGCGAGGTGTTCCTTCAAAGGAACCTTTCCGAGCTTTTGGTACTTTTCAGAGCTCCCGGGAACAAACTAGCGTTTAGCTTTAAACCAGTTTCATTAACCAAACAGAAACCACGCGGATTCTCTTAGGTTTAAAAGAGAAACAGATCCCGGTTCTCTCGCTTGTGAGTTGCTAAACGTAGCCAGCTCCGGCTGAATGGCGGGAGCGAGCGAGGCTTTGCCGTCGGAAGACACCCTCCACCCTTCAAATTTGGAACGAGCCCAAGGAAGTGAATTGCAGGGCTATTACAGGGCCGTTTCGGGGCAAATTGGTTTGGAGCCTCTCCGCTTTCAGATGACCCACTAATTAACGACAAATCTCTCTTTCGGTCCCCGGGGCCAAGGGCTATGTAAACAGGCCGGGGAAGGAGCGGGCCTGGATTTCCTCCGCCGAGAGGACGCAAACGGGCAGCAGAATGCGGGTTTGGCTTGTGTATTAAATCCAGTGTTTCCCAATAGCTTCACAGCATCCTCAGCACAAAGGAATGAATTAAGAAAAAAAACACACCCACCGATTGTACTGGACAAAAAAACAAAATCAAACAAACAAACAAACAAACCACCAACATATATTACAAACGCTCCAAAAACGATCGCGACGCATTAAGCTTTGTAACTCAAGTGGGACTAGAGAGGCGTGGAATATTTCTTTCCTTTCCACATACCCGTCCCATGCCCACCGCGAGTGGCTGGTCCCGTGCCCCACAGGAGAAATGCCGTAAAGCTCTTTGCGGGTGCTTCTCTTTTAAGGGCATTTGGGATAAGAATTCTATGTATTCATTCCTTCCTTTATTGCATGCCTACCCCACCCTTTTTCGTCAAGGAGCTCGAGGGGGCGCACACGGTTCGCCCCCTCCTCATTCCATCCCCACAACTAGAATATACGCGACCACCGTCGTCAGGCTGGCCTCTTAAATACATCACGGCAGAATCCCCCTCCCTAGCATTTAATGGGACTCGTGGGCAGCTCTGCGTTAGCTGGGATCCGTCGAAAGACCGTGCAGATCTAACGAGACGCGGCAAGCCCTTTCCCTCCGACGCCCAATGAGTCCTGCATTTACTCCCTTCCAGCGGGGAGGTGGGGTTTTTCTCCCTGGGAGCCCTTCCCCACAGCAGATGGGTTGGCGCAAAAGTTCTCTCCCCCGAGGGAAGCTCAGGTTCCCTTCCCTCGGCCCCCGGGCCCCCGAGGCAGACGCCAGACGGGCGCAGTTGTGGCGCGAGGGGGCAAACCAGGCTGGTTTCAGCGTACAGGTGAACCGGCTCACCTGGGCGACAAGGAAACATTTTGGTCACTTATCTTCCTCCTATTATATTTAATCTGTTTATTATTTAATAAAAATATCTTATCTGCCCGACTCCCCATTTACTTCTGGGGCACCTCGTCGCGTCCTCCATCAATCCCGCGCCATCGAATTTTAAAGGGGATGGATTTGGTCCCTCGCCTCCTGCGCTCCACCCCTCGGCTGGGAACTATTTCAGGCGAAGCTTTCGCTTCCTTAGCGCCTCAACAGCTGGCTCGCTCCTGGTCTTTCTGAGATCGACTTTTCTCTGACATGTGTTTGGGAGGAGGCGAAACGACACGCCGCGTCGTCGCTGGAGCGTAGGAAACCGGGTCCCAAAGCGGCAATTACTGGCTCTGCCGTTAAGACAACGCCGGACTGAGGAGGAGTTTGGGCAATCTACCGCCGGATTCCGGTGTTTGGTTTTACAGTGAAAAGAAGGAGTGTGTGAGAGAAAGAGCCAGAGAGTAAAGAGAACAGACTAGGCTGAAATGGAAAGTGTCACCTGGAAGGGAAAAGATCTCCCTTTCCAAGCCGAATGCTTGGACGCTACAATGCAGCGTTACTTCGGAATGCTTCTCCGAAGCACTTCTGCCCTTGAAACTCTACAAAGTTAGGCAACAGCCCTAAATGCATAAACTTGGGAGTAAGTCCCTCCTGGAAGCAGATGGGACTGTAAGTGCGTAGGATCGCTCTGCGCAAGTGCGCAGAATTCCAGTCACGCGTGGTCATCCTAAACTGGTTGATTGAAAAGGAAATCCTCTTGCGTTCCGTAAGAACTTGGCAGTATAGAATTGCAGCTGGATCGTAGGCAAGTTTGTGTAGAAGTTCAGGCCCATCATGTCCAGCCCGGCTGGCTCTCAACCTAAAGAACCGCAGCTTTCTGCATCGGAGGAAGCGAAACCTGTCATCTTATATATGCCTTTGGTTTTTCAAGGCACCACAACTATAAAATGTCTCCATCCTAACTAAGCTTGTTTCCTCGGAAGATAGGTCTGCCAGAGCCAGTGGATTAGCTGCGCGCAAACTTGCGCGCTGGCTCACCAGTCAATCCGTTTGCTCTCTTATCCTAAAGCCGGCTCTTTACTGTATCTCGAAGTACGTGCCCATTGCCCAGAGTCTTGAGGAAGCAAATGAGTCTGACTCATCAGCGAGGATGTGAGGTGCGGAAGTTTTAAAGAGCGAACCGGTCACCACCAGTAACATCGATCCTTACAGTTTTGCTAGAGAATCCGGAAAGAAAAGTAGCGCCAGATTCTACCAGAAACGGCCCAGAGAAGGATTGCTTGGCAATGTGCCCTCTACCCAAGCCCAAACCAGGAGCGGGTCGCTTCTCCTGGGCAGGCAAATCAGACGAACTCCAAAATCTTCTTCCAAGGGAAGGAAGAAACGAGGAAGACCGGAAGCCTAGGCCAGGGGTGCTTAAGGTCGCAGAAAAACCCTCCCGGTTTCAGGGAGAGAATAATTCAGGCGCCATCTGCACTAGACATTTAAATCAGTATCATACCCCTCTAAACAATCAGAGTTTCCCACGAAAAATCCTTGGAACTCTAGTTCCTTAAGCATACTGAGAGTTGTCAGGAGACTCCTATTCCCGTTTCCTAGGGTGCTTTAACATCTCTCTCGCTAGGAAATTCTGGGAATTGTAGTTCTGGGAGGGGACTGCCGCACAACTTTCAGCACCCTTAACGAACTACAATTCCCAGAATTTTTGGGGGAAGCCGTAGCAGTTTAAAGCTGTATGATAATGCTTTAAATGTCTAGTGCAGATGGGCCCCTGTTAAAGCGACTCTTTTAGGAGACGGAAGGGATGATTTCAGACTAAAGCGATCTACTTTTTTTTATTTTAAAACAGAAAGCTAGAACTGCCCAGATCCACCAAGTGGAGTTTGGTGCAAAAGACATACACTTAACAGAGATTCCCAAACTGTGGCCATTGGCTAGGCTTGCCATACCTCAGGAAAATTCCTGAGATGTCCTAGTTTTCGGGTGTAAAAATGGCGTCAGGGGGAAATTTTGCCGAATTGGCAAAATGTCAGGAAAATCCCGATGGAAAAAACAGCGCAAGCAGCTCCAAAGGCATAATATCACTATTTTTTTGTTTGTTCCCAAAAATAAGAGCTCAACAATGTCGGTGGTTTCCTTAAAGAAGCTCAAGAATTTTACTTTTTGAAATATGGCAACCTACCATTGGAACACGAGACAAGCTTCACTCAGGACATGCCTGTGAATTTAGGGTCGAAGACAGTATTGCATTTTATTGTATTACAGTTTGGAGTCTGCAATTAACTGCAAAGTATAAGAAACTGAAGAAGCACGGACAATGCAAAATCGCACAGCATGTAACAGAGCGCATTGCCGCGGCTGCTACAACAGGCAGAAAGGTCCGTCAAGACCCCCCAGCAATTTTCAAGTGGTCTGTGGGGCAGAAAGGTCTGGGAACCCCTGACTTCGAATGAAAGAAGCCTGAACGTCGGAATTCGTTCTGAGTACTAGAACTGAATTGAACTCGCAGCCCTTCAACACACCCAAATGCAGCCTTTGTTATCCGCCCCCCTACGCCTTTCTAAATTACGTATCTTATGTAACCTGGAGGGGGAGAGAAGAGGAAAGCAGCTTTATCTGCGCTCCACGTGCAGACCGAGTCCAGGCAGATTGACTCCGAAATAAGCCCCAGTGAGCACAACGGGTCTCACCCAGAACTAACATTCTCTTGTTGCATGGTTGCACGGAAGTTGTGCCTCGGTTTACGCCGTCTCTCTCTCTCTCTCTCTCTCTCTCTCTCTCCCCCTCCTGCTTTTCTTGCTCACTTACATTTACTTGTGGTCGAAGCCCTCTCCCTCTGGGCTTTTCATTAGCAGGCAAACGCATCGCAACCTCAGGGCAATATCTGAACCCAGAGGCGATTAGATCGCCAATATCACCAAAGGCACGAACTTCGCACCGCTTCCCATCGCGGGCAGCTGGGAATCCGAAGGAGCGCGCCCCGTCGAGTCGGAAGGGCCGCTTTCTGCCCTGGGTGTGGGCGA